CTAGCCTCTTGTGCGCCTATCCACAAATGTTGTGGTTATGCTTGCTTTGACTCGGTTCAATGTTGACTTGGTATTAGAGATAGAAACAGGATAGACGCGGGATATTTACTGCAATAGCACCTGCGGGAGAATACGGGCAAGTGATAACGCTTGGTAGGAACGAACTGAAAATTTGTAAAAAATATTATACATATTAAATAAATACCATATATATATGCTGCTTATCAGTATTTATTTAATACTGCTTTATTTGATATTGAGAAGGAAATTGAGGTGAAATTTACACCTAGAGGTGAAGTTGATATGAAATCAATTTTTTTCTTACTCTCCTAAGTGTAGACTCATTTGATCGCCACTGATCCAGGAGAGCTGGGTTCACGCCAATGCTAGCGGCTACCTCAGTCTGAGTTTCGCCGGCTGCTAGTCGATCAAGGGCGGCAATCTTTTTGACCAACGAATGTGGAGCACAAGGGGCACTAGCGCGGGTAGGACGACGAGCAAATTGATCGGCTGTTGCATCGACCAGGGATTCAGAATCGCCAGCTTCGCCATCTTGATGTGATAAACCAGTGACCAAGTGATCTTGGTGGCAGGATGAACGAGGAGTGCTGGGCCGATGGGAACAAAGCGCGGTGGCAACACGAGATCCAGGACAGGTTGTCGTCGAGACTGGTTTACTCATGGCCGAAGACAAAACATCATGACGGGATAAGGCCGCTTGGCTGGCAGAATCGTTAGCCTGCACTACTTTGGACTAAAAAACGAGTGTGTATATGCACTTAAGTAAACGTTTTATAAAAAAGATATTCATCTCTTAAACAATGAAACAACAAAGTAATAAAATAAGAAAGTATACCCAGAGATGTTCGTTGTTGAGTAATGTTGTCGATTGCTATAGCAAAGACAAACTTGCTTCATCGATATAGAATGTGATATTTAAAATGTCTGACCTTTCTTGAAATTCATAACTGCCTTGTGACCCAAAGGCACCCGTGGTAATCTGATGTAGTGGTTAAAGTTCCGAGATTACATGAGGTACTATCATAGTTCGATTCCCGCTGGGGGAGTTGATAAGACCTATGTAAGGTCGAAACTGCAATCCACCCTGGATAAGAAAACCTTTTAAGAAAACAAAGCTGCAAAATGGAAAGGTCAGCTTTACTCATATCATTGTAGCAGAATTCTACTACCACGCACACATTTGAAGATAAAAGTCTTTCCATTTTGATTGGCTAGATTGACAGATCACGTAAAGCCAGGCAAAATAGAAACGTCGGCTCCACTCATATCATTGTAGGAGAATTGAACTACTAGTCCTTCATCACCTTAAACGAAATAGAGTGAACACAATTCATATTCGTAAAAAAGAAAGCCATCAATTGTTTAAAAGTTATTTGTATTTTCAGCTTTAAGTTCAGGTTTACTTGATATTGTATCATAAAACAGAACTGTGATACTGATCCATTTCAATAAGCTTGTAGTGACGTGTCCCAATTCTTCAGCACTGCCGATTGGCCAAATTACAGAGCATTGAACCTAACACACAACTCTTTCTTGTCGCACGTAAAGACAGATATTAACATGACTTGAAGATAAAAGCCTTCCCATTCGGATTGGCTAGATTGACAGATCACGTAAAGCCAGGCTTATCAACCAGGACATGACACCGGCTTCAACTTGGTGAGAAAGCCTACACCCATACACTAACCCCCCCATAAAAATTGTTTTTCTCAATACAAGCTATTTGTGTATCCTTTACTTAGATTAGGTATCTGTACATCGTAACAATTAGAAGAAAATACACGAAATGAGGTCACAAAACGAATGGGCCTGTTTCCAAACCAACTTTAACAAGTAACCTTTACTTCTAGCGCCACCACGTCAATCATAGAATTCAGCCAAAATCTTTTCTGCGAGGATTATATCGGCTCAATCAATGGGTTCGACGTAAGAGGGCCCTGTCTAAATAGATCTAACCCATATCTCTATTTTGAACTTACTGACCTATTTATTAAAATAGACACAATCCGGAGTTGCAAGACCAAATTCCTTATCGTCCTAAAATATATGCAAAAAGGAATCATTATAGCAACTCTGAATAAGGTTACTCTCGAATAAGATAGAATTTACCTAGACGGCTGCCAATCAGTCAACAGAAAGAACCACAAAGATAACTTATAACGGATATCATATTTTGAATTAAAAAACTATTGTCAGAATCAAAGATAAGCATTCATAATAATCAAAAACAAGGGCGGTGCAAATCCTAAAAATGGTCAAGACTATGCAATTGCAGCTAACAGAATGGTAGTAACCTGCCAAATCTAGGCCTATGTCATGTAAATATTAGTCCTTAAGAATGCGCTCTTAGTAATGGGATTGAAAGCACAGAAGATTCGGTTCCCACATGTTGTTGCGTTCTTCAGTGCAAAAGACAAAGATAATAGAAACTATAACTGGTTTTTAAAAGTTTAAAACTTTTAGCGACGACGTCTGGACAAGGTGCATTAAGTCTCTCTGAAAATACGAGCAAGATGCGGAAGCAATTATAAACTACCTATTCTATGGAGGTACTGAAATTATCCTACTACTTCCAAATGATGACAGAGACCCACTACCCTTTCTGGTTGAGACAGAGGACAACAATGAAAGAATGCAGCATTAAAGAAGTTTGCTTTTTATTTAAAAAGCTACTAAAATGGACTTTCATCGCATCCAATGTGACTTAAACCATTATCGGGAGCGCTTTTCTAAAGTGATCATCACACCGACTTATGTAATATCCTGAACAATGATCGTTCTGTTGTTGAACAGCCGTGACAAAGTGACTCCGAAATGTGCAAGCAAAAACACCTATTTTCAGCGATTTGATAAGGCCGATATTGTTCGCTTCTCAAAGATCTCATGGGAAACTTCAATGACAAAGCAAGACCACTATCTTCTATGTCGAATAAGCGATTTTGTTTAAATAGTAAATAGTGACAGTATCATTTAAAAGATTAATATCAAAACTGCATAGTCCGAAATACCAATACAGCCCTATATCATCTACAAAACAGCCAGTATCGCTTCTTTTGGTCCAGTTGAATTCAGCAAATACCTTTTGATTTCCTATTTGTTCTCACA